CCAGAAGCAGCACTAGATGCTGGGGATACTGTGATGAGTAAGACAGGCAGCCCATGAGTTGTGGCGCATACAAGCTGCTGGGGGAGGGAGATGTGGAGCAAGTAACACCATGCGAGGGGGACTGGGGGCCTTTAACAGGAGCTGATGTGGCAGAGGGGGTGAGGGATGTCCGGCTGCGCCTGAAGGATGAGAAAGAGCCAGCCGTGGTAAGTGGCTGCAGTGGTGTGGAGGAGGGAGGGGTCTCCAAGCAGCTCAGGGCTGGGGCGGGCTTCCCGCAGGAGCTGATTTATGCTGGGCTTGAAGAGTGAGTCAGCCTTGAGGAAGCAGAGGGGGCAGAGGAGTGAGGCCATCAGTCTGGCTGCTCTGGCCTCAGGATCCTGTGAGAGGGAAGTAAGGGGAGAGGCGAGGCTGAATCTGAGTGACTGGCAGGGATCCACATGGAAATGGCCGGGAGGGCACTTTCAAGTTAGAAATGGGGAGCTCAGGTACAGGTGAGACGGGGGTGAAACTCAGTCTCCTGAAAAGGAAACTATGGAGAAGGCAGGCTGGGCCGAGGAAGGGAGCCAGGCTGGAGGACAGGAGGCATCAGAGCACATTCTGTGGAAGCTCAGAGAATGGTTCTCAAGGAGGGGCGGGGAGTGGCTCTTCTGTGCCAAGTGGTAACGAAGCTTCTAGGGCTCTGAGAATTGGGCAGCGAGCACAGGATCATCCAGATGAAGAGGGAGCATTCGCAATGCGTTGCCCTGGTCACCGCCCCTCTCCCAGAAGCTTACCGTTTCTCACCTTCCTGGCCAAAAACATCCCCTGAGGCCCCAATAGCGGGTCTGCAGCAGCCGGCCAACCCTGTGCCGTCAGAGGAAAGAAGCCCAGCTCCTCTGCCTGGAATCAGTGGCCGCCCATCCTGGGCAGCTGACTCATGGTGGGAAGCCAGCATCGCCTTCGAGCTGCAGAGATGAAAGCGGCCACAGGCCACTGAGGGTAGGCAGGTGGTGGGTGAGCAGGCAGGGGCAGGCCCGCCTGACATCTGAGCACTTAGGAGGAAGCTCCTCCCTCACGCCTCCCAGGTGGAAGGCACCTCTCCCCTGCAGCTTCCTGCAGGAGTGGGAGGAAGCCTCTCTGTTTCAATGAAGCCCAGCCCTGGAGAAAGCTGTGCTCCTTCTGGGGGAAGAGGACACTTCAAGTATTACTGACTGCAGGCCCCAGGACCTGCCCCCGCTGCTGCTCTGGGCTGGGCCTCAGAGGGGGGTTCTAGCCACTGGGGCTTGGGCCATGTCCAGGGAGCAGTGAGGAGGCTCCAGAAACCAAGGTGCAACCAACTCGATCCAGGAACACCTGTGCCACATACACCCATTAACTTTTTGTATTAGCTTTTCCCTCCTCGGGCCTTCCTGCATCCCTGCGCTGATAGAAGGGTATCAAGTTCAGGGGCCGTGTGATTGGGAGAGGGATGAATGGGTGGGAACGGATACAGCTAGAAGGGAGGCGGCTGTGAGGAAGCAGAGTTTGGAGTCAGGTGGGCTATTCTGAGCAATTCACCTTTCTTCTTGGAGCCTTAATTTTCTCATCAGCAACATGGAATTAAGAGTATTACGAGGCCAACACATTTCAGAGGACTGTCGTGAGTAAATGAGGGAAGGAACGAACTTTCCAAACTGTCAAAATTAAGCGTTGGTGGTTACCATGACCACCGTTGCATCAGGAGTGCTCAGTGTGAAGTCCATGGAGCCCAGTTTGGCGGGGGGGGG